CCTGGTCCGCAGCTCCGTATTCTCTCGCGTGCCGCCGCCCTTCCGGCGGGGAAAAATCAATGGGACTCGTTAGTGCAGCAGCTCTGCGCTTGCAGTTTCCGCTTTCCAGTTTCCTCGGCTGCCTGACAGCCGCGTGTCTGCGCCGTCAGCCGTCGACGTCAGCCGTCGACGGGCTCGCGAATTGCAAAAATGTTTTAATGCGCTTATTGACAGCCGCCGATAATGGCCAACAATTTTAAACACTTCGGCTTAAAGTCGCAGCCCAAGACGCGTCCTTGCGAGGAGTGGCGAGAAGTGGCGTGGTGGCAGATAATCGACTGAAGAGGCATTGTCCTCGCCGTTCAATCAGTCGTCCTGTGCACTTTGCACCTGTCTGTCCTCGCCCAGTGGCCCTCGAGAACAGGCGGCTGTCGTCGGTGTTTGCTCTCACCTGGTTTGTTCGTTGGCTGGTTTGTTGGTATGTCGGTTTGTCGGCTTGTCGGTTTGTTTGAGGCTTCAGGCGGACGTGACGACAGTTGCTGTTACTCGGGGCGATGATGATGTTTGTCCTGCCGGAAACCGAGGGGATTAATCTTGTAATAGGAACCCAATGTAAGTAACTTTGCGTTCAGCGGACGCCTAGGGCCCAGTCCTTAGCCGAATCATTGGGACAGTTAAGCTGAAACAGCTCAGTTGGTATAAACTAGACATGGCTATTATAAGTGCCGCCTATTATTTCTAGTATTCATTTAGCCAGACTATTGACTACATTTCGGGGTTATAGTGAAATATCTTCCCACTGCATTTTTTTTATAAAGTCACTCCCTAATTGAATTTTAATTGGCCACAAATGACATGTTATTAATCGTGTTAATTGGCAACTATATGCTGCTGAAGTGTGCGCTTCAAAGTCCGTGGAAAACCACATCTAATAACCTCGCACATAGCAACCACACACGAAAATCACTTTCTTCTCCGAGCAGCTTTTCCAGAAACATAACAAGGTGAAGGGATGAGCTATTCTTTCTATTGAACAGGCGGGTCTTTTCAGAAAACTTACGAAGAAATAATTTCTATGCTCGGAGTGTCACAATGCGCATAAAGGGAATGAAAATACGTAATTTGATGCGCTCTGAAATATGGTTACTATATAGTAAATAGTATGGGTTATTTAAATGGGGTAAAAATAAATAATAATAGTTGCTGCAATATAATTCTACCAATAAGGGGGAGCCCAGTACAACATTCGCTGTTTAAGTTTACACACCTGGGTACGGCAAAGTGTGCCTCTTTCAAAGTCGATTTGTGCTAGAGAGTATTTTTAGGTCGAACCCCTTGAAGGGAAGCACCCTCGACTTGCCTGATGTGCTCGGGAATTGTGCTAGTCCGCATGTCGCACACACTTGACATTACCAGCATCTGACTCCATGTTGACAGTGGTTTTCATGTCGTGTATCTTTATGTCTGTTTACTTATACAGCCAAGTATCTTTGTATCTCTCCGTGCGGGCTGCTTCACTGCGGCTACGGTTCACAGTTTACTGCCACTTCCGCTGCTTGACCCGCTAAGGCCAGATTACGTGATTTGTCCCGTGCCCGCCGGAAGCACATCCGTGCAGGAGCTCCAGGCGGGAAGAGAGCTGGCTGCATCCACGCAGCGATAAGCGGAGCAAGATTTCAAAGGGCATACAAATTTAAATCACGTCACTTAGGACGGGCGATTGGAAGGGGAACCAGGCTGACGACATCACAAAGAAGCAGCTACAAGTCCGGACATAATGGGTGCCATGTAAATAGTTTGCTCAGACAGAGGCGCACATTTTGGCCCATTTCCGGATGCGGATTCCAGCCCGTGCACTGGGGAAAACGTTTTGAACTGGTGCTTGCTTTTGGCTCTCAATATGAGCAAAGCTATATTAATGCATTTGGTTGTTCTGGGGTATCAGGATATCACAGAATACTACCAAGTGTTCAAAGATTTCAAATGTAATATTTAAACATGGCAAAAATAGTAGCAGGAATAAAACATCGCCTCTTTTCCTCGAGTGCGCGCCGCTTTGTGGCTGCATGTTGGTCCGTGTGAGTTTGTTAAGCCGCTTTTGAGGCAGGCACTCAGGTACAGACCCACCACACACAGGGGCATCCTGAGTCCCCTAGTCCCGTAGTCCGGACTGCAGAGCCCATAGTCACAGGACGAATTCACGTGCGCGTTTGTCCCGCTTCCTTGTGAGCGGGAGCGGGATCGGGTGAGAGTGTGTCCAGGACGACGAGCATGTTGCTGGGGCGCGGCAAATGCCTGTTACGCTTTTGAGCCACCGCCTGCGGTTGACAGAGCACGTTGAACCACCCGTTCCGTTTGGGTTCGGGCCGTGCACTTAGCCACCCGCCGCCCATCCAGCCATCCACCCATCCACCCATCCAACCATCGAGGAACCACCCAAACTGGCAGCTTTTCTGCGGCCTGATGCACATTAAAACGCAATTAAAGTTGCAGGCGTTAATTGTGCCGCCTGTGTAGAATTTTTTCCGCTTTTTTGCAGGCGCCGGGTGCTCTTTTGAGTTAGCTGCCGAAAATTAATTACTTTCGCCCAGTCAAAGCTGCCAAAGTCATTGGAAAGGGGGAGCGCTGGCACATATTACGCGAGAATATGAAAAACTGGTCAACTACGAGAAGATGTGTTCTGGAAATCAATTTGTTTTGAAATATCATCAAATTTGTTGATCTTTGAATTGGTTATAAAGCAGAGGTTATACAGAGTTTATAAAGAGATTATAAAGCTCACTTAATAATCTTAAAACAACGCTTAAATATCCATGTCATCCTGAAATATCCTGAAACCATCCTCCTTAAATTGTGAATAGGGTTTTGTGGAAGCTCCACTGTACGTAAATGGGAATGCTCGCATTCATGTCTCTTAATGAATAAAGTCCATGAATAAAGCCGCATGTGGGTCTTTTTTCGACTTTTGCTGTGGCATAACACTATGCGGTGGGCAGGAAGTAAGTGGGCGTGGCAGAAGTCGGTTGCTGCTAATGGGGAGCCGCACAGATACACACAGACACATATACAAACAATCGTTCGCTGAGTTTTTCTCGCGCTCTTTCCTTGGCCAGTTGTGCAGTTAAATCCTTTGGCTGGCAACTTTATCCTTCGGCGCGGATTCCCAGAAGCAGCTGTTGTTCTTCTTCCCCTTCACTGACGTTCATTCCGAAAGCTGTTTATTCGTAGTCTTTCTTATTCGTTTTTTACTTCGAGAGGCTTGGCTAAAACGCCAGTTGCCGGCGACGTGCCGCTGAAATAATTAAGTTGCCAATCGCGGCAGTCAGACTATCAACAGCGATCCAGATAGCTGGTAATGGAGAAGGGTTGCAGGCTTTTCAATTGTCAGGATGAGCAGCAGGCGTTGTTTTACTGTGCTCGATTTTTAAAATTTGTTTCAAAAGCTGTTTGCTAAATTGTTGAAAGTCAAAGGTGAGAAATGAGCCACCACGCTTCCTCAATCAGCATTAAAATTAGGCTTCATCCGTCGCCCTGACAACGTGGCGAATGCGTAATATCCAGAAATAGCCAAGTGCCTGCACCACAAATAGAAAACAAACAGCAAGCCCATTCGCCAGGAAATAGACAGCTTGTCGAACTTTTTGGTTGGCAGGAAATGCGAGGCATTCCTCGAATATTACGCATACGCACGGCTGGCAGCCGCAACAGAGGTCTTCTGTGCATTAGATGCTTTGCAGTCTGGTGAGCCGAGTAAAATAAGAGTGAAAACTGCTCCAGTTTCCACCGGCATGCCGCCCTGTTGACATTCTTTTGACAAAAGCCACTGGCCTTGTCTCTCGATGAGATGCTCGATCATTAGCATCACAGTCATGGCGGAGTCGCAGCCAATTGCTGTGCAATGCCAGACACACTTGGCGAAATCCATTGATACGCAGTATACTTGGGTATATGCCTATACTTTTTGCGAAGTGCTTTAATGCCTTCAGATATCTTAGAATATCATTATGTTTGGGAAGTTTCTTCGAACACACTCTTGTCAGCCTTAAAGTGAATGCATCTTTATATAAATGCATCCATATATTTTTGCCGTGTAGAACGTGCTTTCAATTTGCGATTCAGAGGGCGCTGCGTTGCCCGAAAAAAAACCCCAAACGATGCAACTGTGCAACTGTGCCGTTCGGGTGCAATGCAACTTGTACAAAGGAAACAAAGGCACTAAGTTGCGGCGACATGTAGCGCTTAAAGCTGTGGCAAGTGAGCAAGGCCAATGAATACCAAGCGAATCGATAGTGCGAAATCGAACTCCGAGGGCAACGTCAGCAGGGCAGGCATTTTTCTGCTTGGTCGAACCAGGGAGCGGAAAAGCAATTTCGGTCTGGGCCACCTCAAGTAGCTGCCGCTTTCCTGCCTTTCCCGCTTTTTTCTTTCCCGCTTTCAACTAGGCCAAACGATTTGCAAATTTTACCAACGCACCACTGGGTATTGCTCACAGCCAGTCGAGGGAATTAGCTGGGCAAAAAATAAGACGTTTTAACCAAACACGGAGCAAATGTTCAATTTTTAAGTCAATCAACTAGAAAAAAGTTTCACTCACTCGCTGGAATCCAATGCTGGATTCTGGCCTAAAGTTCCTGCGCCGAATTAAGCGATTAGATGGAAGTTTGCCACCCAGTTGACACGCATAAATTATTCCAAGTTTCCGCTTCTGTCGCCTGCAGATTCACACACTGGAAAAAATTAGACACGCACAGCTCTATTTTCAACATACGATTACATTCATGTCCTTAAAATGTATCAAAAATATTTTTATACCCGGTTTTTATTTTCTTCGCAATTTTTACCGATATTCCAGAAAATGAAACATTTTCTCGTTCGCACTTCTACTAGCTGAGTAACGGGTATCTGATAGTTGGGAACTCGACTATAGCATTCTATCTTGTTTTCATTTGACCTAAGTACAATGTGTTACATTATTTTGTCTACTAATTTGCCTTTACTGTGTAGCACCAGTCGGTTGCACAATGGACGCGCACTCCACAGCCGTCGCCATTAAAGATATGGAACTGGATTTCGCCGAGTATATGGATGAGCACGGAAAATTGGAGAAAGTGGGTCAGCCTGAGTACTTGGTGGCGATGGTGCGGCGCCTGCAGGCGAACCACGTGTGGATCCGGGAGCAGCTGACTCACCTGCAGCGCCGCCTGGTGACTCGTCGGTTGGACAGGCAAAGAAGCCTCTACGAGGGAAAGGAGCGGCTGCAGCGACTGCTCCTGAGCCTGCAGGTAAAATACGGACGCCACTGGGCGCTGTAGGGGAATCGAAGGATGTGGAGCTCGGAATTGGAGCGACAGCTCTTCAGGATGATGTGACGAACGGTTTAAAGTACAAACGAAGTTCTCAAATTCGGTTGCGTTCACACGTCTTAATTAGTGAATCTTTTAAGGATGAATATTTGTATGACGCAAATGAGATTAGGTTCTTGAAATGATACCTTAGCAAGATAAATAATAAAATAATTTTAAATTTAGAAACATTAATTAAACTTAAGACCATTCCACGGAATTCACTGAAGAATAGTTTTATAAAGTTTTTATAGTATACAAGGAAATAGTATATAAATATGAAATATGTATAAATCTAAATTTGTATATTCCTGATCAGCATCAACAGCCAAGTCGATATAGCCATGTCCGTTTATTCGTTTCCACGCAAACGAGTCGCTTAGTTTGAAAGCTATCTGCATAAAACATTCCAAGAAGATTTCTGTTTATTGTTGGTAGTATACAAAGCAGAACGGCCCTGATGTATATAAAAAAGTTTGGTCGACAATATAGGATATCTGTTTTAATTTGATAAACATCGGTCGGCTATATCTATATCATATGCCATAGAAAAGCAAGAAAGAATCCTATAGTCGAGTTCCCCGACTATCAGATACCCGTTACTCAGCACTCAGCTACTGAAAGTTCGATCAAGAAATTTCAACAGTTTCCGGAATATCGGTAGAAAGCGGGAAAAAATAATAAAATTTAAAAAAATGTATTTAAATTGTTTTCAAACGTGTGGGCGTTAGAGTTTGACACGCCAAAAGTTTTTTGGCAAATCGCTAAAAATTTACCAAACTAATAAAACAACGAATGTATATTAAAGAAAGTTTCAAAAGTGTGGGCGTGGCAGTTTTGGGCGGTTAGTTAACAAACCTATGTCGCTGGAATCTGCATGCCTAATCTCACCTTTTTTAAGGTTCTTGCAAACTCGACGTTCATATGGACGGGCAGACGGACATAGCCAGATCGACTTTACCTGGTCGGAAATGCTTTTCAACGAGTCTAGTAAGCCCTTTTGCTCTACGAGTGACGAGAATAATTATTAAAAACTGAATAGCAGAATTCATAGGTTCCCTGGTTTTGATTCGTTATATACTTAGTATTTTCTCAGGATAAGATAAGGGTGTATAAGCTCTGGCCTGCCGAAGCTAGCCAGCTTTCTTCTTAAGTTTAATGTGAACATTGAAAAGTTCTCTTAAGGCACTTCGATGAGTCCTTTCAATTACCTAACCAGCCTGAAGACGGCCTCCGCCAAACATGAATGTCAGATGAGTGGTCACCACAATCATAATTGTTGAACAGACTTGTGCCCGAGTGCGTGCATTAGTCATGCAACTAACTCACACCACGCTGAGCACATTGCACGGCATAGTCCCATAGCCCGAGAACAAATAGAACAAAGCCCTGGGGCAATGGCAATCAAAGCTCGCCTTGCACTGCGCCGCTCTGCTTAACTCAATTAACCAGACACCAGCGGAGGTCGAGTGCATCACTTAGCTCGAGATTTACCCTTGTCTGGCCCTGTCCTCGTCCTGTCCCCTCCAATCAGGGGCGGCGCCTGGGGATGAACCCACTCGCTCCTCCTCGCATCAGCCACTTACACGCGCCCATTGCTGTTTAGCAACTATTTATGGCGGCAAGTAGTTGCCACTTGCCACCTACATGCTTTACTGTACACCGGGAGAAACTGGGATGGATAGCAACAGGTGCCGTTCGAAAATCCCCACACATCCAATTTGTGTGGCACCCTTAAAGGCAGTTGTCCGCACAACTGTTTCGTAATTATTCAGCACTCCATGAGTTTGTTTTCCAGTGTACCCACAACCCAACTGGAACTGCAACGGCCCACAGTCGCCGCATTGTAATGATATGCCTTCCGGGCTGCTGCTGCTGTTCTACACAGTTCTGTTCAGCTCAGTTCAGTTGTGTCCTGGCCTGGAGGGTCCTTGCCTGCGGATGACACCTAGCGTGTTATCATTAAACACTTGGAAAGTGGACCGCAGGGGGAGAGCGGGGAAAGTGTGGTCAGCTGACATCACTTGAGTGGACCATAAACGGCAACAAATGCAAATGCAAATGAAATTATTGCCGCCGCAGCTCCATTTCTCCGAATGACCAACGACCCCGACTCCGCGCCGGAAAACTGTTTGCATATGCAGGCGCACGCCCACAGATAGGCCACGCCCCCGTTACTCCGCCCCAGCACCGGCCACGCCCTTCAAACGGGCGGCGCGAAACGTAAAGCCATTGGCGACCGACTGCATTTCAGCGATATAAATATTTATATAAGTTAATCGGTTTATGGTGCACGAGTAATTGAATTTCGCGACGGCGCCTGGTAAATGAAACCAGGTAGCATGTAACTCGGACTCCCGTTCCCGTTATCGGGTGTCACGCGGCCCGACCGATGTTGCAAATGGCAGGGGCACTTTAAACTTGATTTCTTACTTTGCGCATCCGTTTCCGGTCGGCCCATTCAGTCTAGGATTTGGGGTATCTACGACGCATACGGCGATCTCATGCTTTGCTATGCTATTTTTTATTAACTGTGACTTAATGACAAACACCACACATTTTAATACTTTAAACAATCGCTGTTATGTAGTGCAATAGGTCAGTTACTACGTGTATAACATAGTTAGGCATCTGAATGTATAAAATAAGTTGTGTCGAAATTGTGTTCATCGCAGCCAACTGCATGTAAGCTGGTTTTAAGACTGAAATAATAATTAAGGAAATAATTGTGACTCAGAAGTGAAAGAGAGCTGTCGATTGTTAAATTAAATAGATATATGAAATGAAAATAAAGGGTATTAACCATAGTTACATATTCAAATTAGCTAAACTCATTAAACTTCAAAGCCATTTAGCTCAATTTTGGCGCAGTGATTGCTCTTGACCATTTTATTTTCTTTTCAAAAATCACTGTTTTTGCAGAAACAATGTGCCTTGTTTTTATACAAATAGGCAAGAGTCTTAGTGCAGCTTTTAATAAATATTTGCTTTAGCAACCCAGTAAACACAATCTCGAACTATTTTTTAATGCTTAGTTGCAATATTTTTGAAAAGGAATCTATTAGTACACACTAATTGTGCTGCTTAACTGATTTGGTGTCGTTTTAATCATGAACTTTAACCTTCACTGGAGACGCCATATATGGTATTTGTTAAAAACAAAATATGAAAAACTAGCGCTGGAATAACCTAAAAAGAACTCTTCTGTTTTCAGCTTAAAATAGGTTCTTTTGTTTTATTCGAATTAGGCTCAAGGCTGAAGTAGTTCTCGGTTGAGATATATAAATAGGAAGTACTGTATAGCTCCCACTGAGCTCATTACTCATTAGTTTAATCTCTGGTGCTGAACCAAGAAGAGAATTATTTTTTACGCATTGGGCTTAGCACCCGGCTCCACTTGAAGCCACCCGGCTCCAAGATGGCGCCAACCGGAAGTGCCGGCCGCGCAGCATGGACGCGCTGCCCTGTTTCTATGGCACTTCCGCTTCACTGCCCATTAATTGAAATTAAATTTGGCATTACTTTCCCGCCCCGCCCAAAACCCCGTTTGCATTCCGTCTTCCTGTTTTCCCGCCGCCTATGCAAGTTTAACGACGGCTGCAATTTTTGTGCGCTGCTCTTTACTACGAGTATATCTTGCATAATTTAAAGCTGTTTGCTGTGCTGCCGCTGTTGCATTATGGCCAAGAGGGGCGGGATGGGGCGTGTGATGTGGCCACTGCCTCTGCTGCGCAGCCTTGTTATTGTTGTTTTCAATTAACTATGCGTCTAGCTAAATGGCAAGTGAATTAATGTTTATAGCGCATAAATATGCAATTTATAAGCCCCGCCCCTCCTCCTTCCGTGCTTTCTTGTGCGTGGTGACGTCAATGGACTCAGTCTATGATGCAGAAATTCTGCTTGAACTGAGCCTAAATATTAAAAAGTTAATATAATTCGGGCCATGTGCCGTACATCAATAAAATGCATTCGCAGATCCTCAATCGCCAGATCTTCTTTAGAGTCACAAGTCATCTTCGGGATAAGCCAGTACTAGATATTTGAAAAATATCCGAAAGATTTATTTCCACTCCTCTATTCCGAACAGCATAATTATTTTGCCCAGTGCACAACTTCCTTTCTGTCATCCTGTTGTGTCGGTGCCAAAACTTTAATTGCCTTTCGGGCCGAAAACTTTAGCAGAATCTGTGCTGCTATGCATTTTGTTAACGTTTCCGGTGACTTCGCGCTGCAGACCGCCTCTTCCACAACAAAACACCACACCACACCACAACACAGAACTGTTGTTGTCCCCGGTTTGTGTGCCCTTTTAATTGCCCATTGAAAGTTGTTCACTTGTTAAAGCGAACTTTCGATCTGCCAAGTTGCCGGCAGTGAAGTGAAGTGTAAGCAAGAAGCGTGAAACTATGTGTTAAGCAATTAAAAGTGCAGGCGACCCTAAGCCCAATCGATGCGGATATTCAATTGGCCGCCGGCAGGCCAATTTGCGCAACTTATTTAAGGATCAACCACTCGCCCGGGAGACACTGGTGGGAAAATCGGATGGGAAACTCGGGTGACCACAGCTGCAGCCGCTCGTAATGAGTTTTTCATGCATGCCGGGCCGCCGAGACAGAGCTCCAAGTTAACATTATGTGACAGCTGCAGACAGAAATCATGCCGAGCCCTTCTTCTATGTGGCATCCAGCCCATCCATCCCATCCCAATGAGGCGAACGGCCCGGAGGAATCCATCATGCTGCATTTGCTTTCGGGTTGGCCAAAGACCCGAAGCCACACTAAACGCGATTTTAAATTTTTTGATAGTGCCACATATGCAAAAACAAATAATTCGTTTTAAAGTGATTCAGAATATGGCTGAGTTCCAAGTTTTACCTTTTCTAATATCGATATTTTTGTTTTTCTTAAATGTAATCTCCAGAAGGCCTGATTCTTTAGAAATATTTGTGTATAATGAACACCTTTTTTCGATTGAGTCAGTAGCCAAAGTGGTATAAACTTCCCCATTCCCGGTTGGGCAAAATTGTTGCAGGTGTATTTATGCTACATGTGGCACTCTGCTCCTCGCATTGGACTCCTTTGTTTTCCACTCTGCGATGTCTACTGCTGGTGACTGGTGAGGCAGTCACATGATATTTTTCTGATTTTCCACTTGCATTATCACGTCTAAAAACTGTCTACTACTGAAACATGTGGATTGTGTGCACTGTCTGGACTTAAGGCCATTTCTAGAGCGTGGCAATATATAAACATAATTTAGGAGCAAAACAGGGTAGGAAGATTCCATTAGCTGCCACGGTAGGCGAATAAATTATGAGAGCAGTGGCGCCGCTCCACATGACTTGGTCGAATATACATATGTGGCACAGTTTGCCAAATCAAGTTACGTGGGGCAGGGTCCAAATTTGGTAAACAAATACACATTTTGAGCCAATTTCAGTTGGACGAGAGCGTGTTGTTACGGACGCAGAAGCCTGATAACTCCTGGTTAGATGGAAATCCCATATTTGCCACAAGTGCTTATGAGTACCTGGTTTTGATTTAGTGTCTGGGCCCCCAAAGTGGCAACTTTCGGCCGAAACTTGCTGCTGCAACATAAAGGGTTTTTGTGCTCTCATCAAGATCTTATTTATTTTATGCCAAATGTTCTACATTTCCATAGATATCGCAATCAAGAACAGAACTTGTCGGTTATTTAAAGGGAGTATTGTGTGTGTAGAATTGATTCAGTGAGAACAAAATATATTTTTATATATTATATATACCATATTCGTTGACAAGTGTGTAACAGGTTAGCAAAGCGTTTATATATTCTTGATCAGGATCAATGCCGAGTCGATCTGGCCTTGTCCGTCCGTCAATCCGTCCTTCTGTCCGTCCGTATGAACGTCTCGGAAACTATAAAAGCTAGAAAGTTGAGTTAGACTGATAGGTTTTCGAGATTTTAGGTTTTTTCATTTTATTATTTTATTTCTATCGATATGCCAAAAAGAATGTTGAACTTTCTCGTTCACAATCCCACTAGTTGAGTAACGGGTATCTTATAGTCGAGCAACTCTTGCCCTCTCAGGAACTATTTAAAAAGATACTACAACGAAAAAATAAGAGCTTGAAAGTTGAGGTTAGGCATACAGATTCCAGGGACATAGACACAGCGCCCACTCTAACGCCCAATACTGCCACGACTTGTGAAAAATGCTTTTTGTATTTTTTTTTCTACCGATATTTCAAATTATGAAGTTTCTCGTTCGCACTTCCACTAGCTGAGTAGCAGGTATGCGATAGTAGGAGAACTCGACTATAGCATTCTCTCTTGTTTTTTTATAACTTATGAAAGTACACAGCGGCTCCCAAGATTATTTAATTGATATCAACTACAGTTTCATAAGTACTGGCAACAATAAATACCGATATTAATGTTTCTAAAATGTCATCATACCATTTTCTTGTTGTTGAATGCGTTTAACTTTTATTATACTTCATTGAAAAGCCATAAAACAGAGAACACGACATGTCGAATATCTAAACAACTAAACCATATTATGCAGTATATAGTACTACACAACCATAAACTATACAACTATAAATTTGCATATTATCTGATATAATTCTGATGATGTTATTAAATGCACTGTGAGTTTCGGCTCGCAAAGTCATCTATTAGGTCATCACAGAGTTTACATCTTGACGGGCATCTATCTGTTCACTCCTTTCCGCCGCCATGTTTCCTGATCTTTCTCATTGACTTGTCCCATTAATTAAGTTTGCGACTCTGGCGTTCAGATAAGATGCAGCTGCATTTGCACCCCTCCCAGTTGCCACCCCTACCCCTCTAGTCATGCCATTGGCCCAGTAATTGGCCCCGAACATTTTAATGAGCAGCATCTTGCCAGCGTCACGTTTTCCGGAGTCGTCGCAAAATATTTGCAAGAAATGGCAGTGGCATAATTAAGATTATGTCGGCATACGGGCTGCTGCCGAGTGGAGTGGTGTCTACTGGTAAGGCGGAAATTTGAATGCCAAGGCGTCTCCTAATGTTAATATGATGGCAGGATATAACCATCCACCCGACTGGCTGCATTAAATTCCCATGCCCAAACATTGCGCATTCGACATGTGTGCTGGTGTGGCCTGCCAGCTGACAGCTGCAACTCCATCCCCTCACACCTGCTCGAGCACCTGAAAGCGGGTACGACGCCTCCCAGGAGCTTAGCTCCAGGCACGTCTGGCGGCCTTTCACATGCCTGTCAAGCGCCTCTCCGCCTGGAAGCCCCTGCTAGCCCACTTTGCTGCGCGATGCACCTAACAAAAGTGCGGTGAAACCAAAAATTGCATTCGGTTTTGATGAATCAAAACGTCATCTTGTGTATATAACAAACTTCTCATTCAACTATTGCTGAAAACCCAATGTTTCCAGCTGGGAAACAAACTTACTTTTGCGAAGCGTAAGCCAATGGTAGTTGGTTATATGAACTACTTTACCTGGCAAAAGGCTTAAACGCTTTGTGATGATCCCTCATAACGATCTGGATTTCTGAAATTTATAAGGGCAAAAACCTTTACCTTAAACATTGTTATTTAACGGCCTAATTATTTTGGAATAATATTATTTCAAGTCAAAATTCTTTGCGACTCCAAAGTTCCTGATTTTCCTTTCAGTGAGTCTCCTCGTGCATCTGCGGCACGTAATGACATGCGGCTGCCAATGTTGTGGACGCACATTGAGCTCCTCGCATCGCCATCCCGTCGCAGAGCATCTCCATCTCGAGGGTCTTGCATAATTTAAATAACCACGAGCACCGCCAAAAAACCGCAAATCTCGCAGCTCCGCGATGCACACACGAGGCAACATCAGTGGCAGCAGGAGCAGCAACAGAAGCAGCAGCAACTGCAACGTCACAGCATGGTGGCAATGTCAAAGAAACCCTCAGCATTGTGGCAGATTCTGGACCGCTTAAAGTAGCCAGCAGTTCCATGCAGCAGTATTGATGGTTTTCCCATTTAACGCGTCAAACATTCGGTAATGGATGGCTGCGGATGTCAGCGATTTCACTTAGCGACCCGCTGCGAGCAGATGCAAACATGTGTTGCGAATTTCGGCTGAAAGCTTTTTACAAAGGTTTCCTAAGATTCATGATCATTTCATTTCATTGATAAGCGGACTTCGTTTAGTTCCAATAGTTCCATTATGATGAACATGGAAGTAGATAAAAAGGAACACTCATTTTCAATGAAATCGATCTCGATTTGCTTAATTCCTTATCAGTAGGTAACAATTTACTAAAAAAATAAACATGGATATTTTTACTATTTGTATAATTTCACAGCGATACACAAATTGCGTAATAATAGTAATGTACATAACATTTCTTCTCATACAAAGGAATAGGAATAATTGCAAAATTGAATTTAGCGATTGGTTTAACCCTTTTAAGTTTTAAAGCACCCAATCGCCAAAAACGGTCAATCGCCAAAATGTATATTATATCTTAACTTATGGAAACTGGTTCACCGATGGTCTATGACAGCAACTTCAAGTCTGCAAACGTTTTGGGCACTGAATCCCCCAATTTCTCTTTCAGTTTGTTGGGAATGCTTATTTCATCAGCGATGACTAGGTATTGACCATAAGGAAGCGATTCCAGAAGTACTTTGTCCGCTATGTCGAAACTCTTTGGAAATCCGGAAGTTTGAGGCCACTTGTCCAGCTCCGACTCCATGGTCCACCTGGCAGCGAGGTCCTTGTAGTAACCCTCCCTTAGAGAATCCACCTTTTCCAGCTTGGCCAGGTTCAACAAACTCGTTTCGTGATTGGCTGAAAAATCGATAGCACGCATTAGAAGGGCACTTGTTAGTAGGGTCCACTTGCTGTCCGGCTCAAACTCCAGAAGATCTAGGCAGGATTGCAGCTGCGTTTGCAGCTCTGCCAAAAGATCCTTGCTGCAACTCGCGGTGCCATGTGGTGGTGCAAAGTAATAGGCTCCGTTTTCCGATCCAGACATAGGCGAGAGGTTAACGTTCTGGTCGGAAAGCCTAAAGGAGTAAGCTGAGTTTCTTTGGTAATCGAAGTTCTGCTGACACTTCCAACTGGTTCCGAGCTTGTCCACTGGTAGCCAGGATTCTAGTAAAATGGTTTCCTCTCCACCAATTAGCTCAGTCCTCAATTGTTTGATATCTGGGTAGGGCTTGTCTAGCGCGAGGACTGCTCCGTGTGAATCCAGTCGAAAAGCAGCTATTCTTGGAGCCCGATCCAACTGAGCGCCGCTGCCCAGCAACCACCGCTGGTAGAACCAAGCACTGCTGTCATTGGGATCCGTGAAAGCAGCCGTCAGCACCATTTCAAGTTCTTTTTGCAACTTCTCCTCACTCATGGGTCGGTCTTTTTGCTGGTTGGGATAGAGCCCCGGAAGCAGGAGACTTCGGTGGTGCCAGCTGGAGTAGTTTGAGAAGTTAACCTTGATCTTCTCTGTGCAGAAGTCTAGCTCCTGGACAGCTGGCACCATGGCCTTTCCGGTCACATAGCGCCTGTAGTCCCAGGTGTGGAAGTTGCGCTCGTCGAACTTGAGGTACTTGTTGCACAGCTGCACCTCCCGCTGCCAGTCCGCTTGGGGATTCTGTTCCAGGGTCCAGCAGCGGTGGTGCCAGGCGTTGTAGGACTTTGGGTTGACCATTAGGCACTGCTCGGTGAGGTCCAGTTCGTGGGTGAAAACGGAATGGGCGTTGTCCTCGGGAAGGGTCTTCTTTTCACTCGCCTCGGTTTGTTTTTCCTCCTCGGACTTCTCCTCGGTGGGCGTCTCGTAAGTGGCTTCCCCTTCCTTCAGCTTGGACAGCTTCTCCAGGACGCACTCCCTGCGGATATTCCACAGGGTGCTCACATCCGGATTCCGCAGCAAAATCTGAACCGTCAGGCTGAGCATTTCGTTGTCCAGCTCCCCCGCTTCCCTCTTTTTCTGAATCCTTCCCATGGCTGCACGGTACGCCCGGACTTTCAGAGCCTGCTCCTTCTTCTTCCGCTCGCGCTCCTCCTCTGTGGTCCTGACCTTTACGCGTCCGTGCATTGCCTTGAATTGTATCAAAGTGCAATATTTACAAAATACGAAAATTATTAGTCAGCAGTGTGGCCGCGCCGGGAACGATAAAAATACCAGCCGGCCTAAAAATAAATACCGTCCTATGCCAATTCAGTTTAAATAAATCCGTTTCTATACTTTGCAAATAGGAAATTCATTTTCTCTGTCCTTACTCAAACAAATTCGTGTAATTCATAGCGTAGCAACAAGCTTGTGAATAGCGTGGTGAGATTCGAAATTTGTATACAAAATGAACAGAATATTGAGGACTCTCTTTTTCAGTATTTTTACATCTACTTTCTACATATACGGGTTCTGTTTCCCCGGTTTCTACACCATTGTATCGACTTACATTCTTAGAATTCAGGATGGCAGCTTGGAAATAACTGAAAAAAGCGAAGTACTTTATTTTTAAATTCCGTGGTGGAAATGAGAAGCTGCGAACAAAATAGTAGCACCACTTAAGGTGCATATGTAAGAAGCATATATTTAATCTGATTTTAATGAAGCTCACATTTCCTGACCGCCAGATACAAAGTAATAATATGGGCTTTTCAGGGAAAAAAAAATAAATAATACAAAAAATAGACTTTGACATGATTCTTATTTACAATTTATTCGACATTTTGTTACATATGACGTTTTAAGTGGAGCGATTTATGTAGTTTCTGGCTTATTTTCCAATTAGCACTCAGCACTCCAATAGCACCGAGACATTGACAGGATCTGTTCAACCTGACACAAGTTCGCTGCTCCAATACCCCTAAACATTCGGAAGTGCGCCTAACTTGCTGGCAACATCAAGAAAAAAGTGCTTTGAATGCACGGCGGCCATTTATTTGTTGTCAATTAATAGTAAAAGGTGGCGCATCTGTGTACCCGATCCAAATTATTGCATTTAATTTATTTTTTTCGTTACTTGTGCAGTTAAAGCAAAGACATTACAATAATAAGATGAGCAACGACCATATATTGGACGCAAAAAGTTGAGAGCGGTAAAATCTAAACATTTTTCTCACTTGCTTGAGTGAGCTAAAAACATAAGAAAGAAATTTCGTTTTAAATGATCTTTTGCAACATTTATTACAATTACTGATGGCACTAAAACTTGCAAAATTTTAGCTATCGAAGAGGTCTATGTCATAGTCATAAGTAGTAACAAAACTAACAAAAAGTAATGTATGAAAAGTATTATGTATTATTCTATGTATTATGTATGTATGTATGTACATGCGTACATATATTCGTTCATAGATTGCAAATCTGAGAACTTGCAGTACAAAAAATTGTGTGCTGAAAATCGTATGGCGTTACGCATCTTGTTATTCTAATGCCTTTGGTAAAAGTATGTATATACTAGGATATACTACGTTGAAAAGCATATAACAGGTAAAAGTAAGCGTTTCTGACCCTATAAACTATATACATTCTTGATCAGGATCAATGGCCGAGTCGATCTGTCCATGTCCGTCCGTCCGTATGAACGTCGCGATCTCAGGAACTACAAAAGCTAGAATGTTGAGATTAAGCATTTAGCTTCCAGATACATAGACGCAGCGCAAGTTTGTTTCCAAATTGTGACACGCCCACTCCAACGCCCACAAGTCGCCCAAAACTCTTACGTGCACACATATGAACATTTTCCATTTTATTATTTGTTTCCAAATTTCTGCCGATGTTCCAAATGTGTTAATTTCTTGCTTGCACTTGCACTTGCTGAGTAACGGGTATATGATAGTCGGGGAACTGGACTCTCTAGTTTTTTATTTTATTGGGGTACAGACCCTACACCGAGACTTAATTTTTATTTTAATTTAATTTAATTTTATTTTCTAATACTTATTATTTCCTAACCTTGGGTGCTCCTCAGAAATCGTATTTCTTGGTAAAACTATAGAAAAATAGACCATTGAACCAAGATATGTGCAAATTTTTGTCACTTGTCTGCCAGTTACAGTGGTGGAATGAAAACATTCCTCATGAAGGACAATAATGCTGATATATAGTTTAAATCAATTCAATGTTGTACCTCCTAAAAATCATGTATAATACAAACGTGCATTTGTAGATTTTGAACTGCTCCGTGTTCTTTGTTTGTCAACTGGCACAGCTTGGTTTTCCCGATTAGTGCTACGGATGTCGCTCACGGAAGGGAATAATCCAACCCTGGATGTCCTTCAAATCGGCGCTGTTGTTTGATTTTGCAGTAAAAATAGAAATCTCGCTTCATTGAGCTCCTTTGTGCTGGCGCAGCCACTATCTACTCCAATTTACTTAGCGAGTCGTGCGAGTGATATCCGAGGGTGCTGCCAGGCTTCCACCTAACAACCCCTGTGCATGGCTCATCCTGACCTGTCGGCCAGATTAGGACCGAACCCACACACTCGTACAAGCCGCATTTGAGACGCCCGAAATCAGTCATAATATTTCAAATTCATAAATTGATGCGTATCACATTAGGAGCGACAGCAGGATCCGCCGTCTAACGGCAACGATGCCCGGACCTGCCACGCCCCTCCTCCTCCTTCTTGGCTGCTAATCCACCCTCGGGAACAGATTTTGATAAACGCGTTCTTGCCAGGGGTCCACGACACGCCCACGTTTCAGTGCGTTGCGCAAATTTGGTGTTAAATGAAAAAACACCTCGGAAAGGAGCGAAAAATAAGAAGCACACTGGGAAAATGATTTAAAATGTCTTAAAGCGGTTACTATGTTTATTCCAGTCTGAAAATAAAATGTATATAGAGGTTGGTGGCTTCTTAATTTTAGTATGTCAAGATGGCCAGAATAAAATCATTCCATTTTCGAGCAAAACTGCACAAATCTGCTGAGCAGTGCACACCGCTTTATTGAGGGGCGGCGATGTACAACTTCTTTGATTTTGCTGCTCGATTGATTTTCCCACTCCAAGAGTCCTTGGTCCTTGGCAGAGTCCTTTTCATTTGCACCTGCTGCCAGCCAAGCCGTTGCCCGAGTAGGAACTACTCGGATTCAGAGGACCCTGGCCATTTGCAGGATATCCCTCCGCAGGCCCAGCCGTCGTTCATTTTATTTCGCTCTGCTCCTCTTCGCAAAGCCATAAAACAATAAAGGAGGTTTTGTATTTGAGTTCCCACTTCGAGTCACTCTCGCTGGAGAAATGCTTTTCTAATTAAATTTTATGACTTGCCTGATGAAGTTTCCGCTGGCTCTTCGTGATTGGAATTGAACTATTGATTGGTCACGAATGGGAGATTACCCCGGGGCGTCTAGCAGGGGATGATCCTTCGGTGGAGATAGCAGGCACAGTTAAGTAATAACGGCTGCACTTTAAATTATACTTTATCACTGCCAGGCGAGTCTGGCCGGGGATACACGAGACTTTGATGTTGAAATCAAATTTATATCCGCTTACATCAATTCGTTCCGTTATATGCGACGGTTTTTAGTGGAAAGAAATGCAATACCTTATTGATCTTTTCTTGTATTTGTTTAAAACCAATAATATAAAACGATAAAACCAATAAAAATAATACCGATAATGTTTTTTTTTCTTTTTATTTACAATCTGTCTTAAGCAAGTATGACAATAAGTAAATATGAAAATTCCGAAACAGATTTAAGTAAAATGTAATACAATTTTCGTTACTAACCGTCCCGTAATTGCTCACTAAAATTTAATAGTATGTGAATGTAATTAATTTCGAACACAATATTGGATACGAAAGTTCGCCAGATTAATTTGCCGGCATGAAATGCCATTTATAAACTTTCATTTCACGAGGTGCCGAATTTCAAGTGGTAATCCAAGTGGAGCCCAGCGAGATTCAGTGGTTCCTTGGCCTACCACCTTCCCCAAAACCTCTCCCCTTCGCCTTTATTCAGTCCATCGAGTTGGCTGCCATGAAAATTTCAGAAATTTCTCGAGCCACGCTGAAAATTGACACCTAATGCCCACGCAGGAGGAAAACTCTCGCATTCAGTGGCGCATCTCCTTGGTGGCTTTTCACACCCACACCCACACCCACTCTCTAGCCCCATTTTCCATCTCCGCGCTGCCTGACACAATAAGAAAATCTTTGCAGTCCGAACAGCAAGGAGTATCCAGAACTTCAAAAGGACTTTCACATATTTGCACCCGCTGTTGGGCTCGAAAGAGAAGATTCAATACTGAACGATCGAGATACTTAGGCGTATTTCTAATCACTCGGGCCTTTAATTTCAGTGAAATCTGCACCAGAAAGAACTACTTTCGCGTACATCCGCTGAGTGTAGCTGAATAAGAGCCAAACGAATGAGCAAGCAATTGACGTAAATAAGAAGCAGTCTGCGCAACGTCAGCGCCACGATGACGACGCCTGTAACCGGAGATGGCCGCAGGATGAGGACGAGGACGACGGTCGTGGGGCGGCGAACACACATAGATATAAAAATATATAGCATACGTATGCCCTGGCCACAGCTTGAGCTTTGAAATTGGAAAAAGTTATGCAAATCTGCTGACGACGGGACAGGAAACGAGAGCACTGCCAAGCGCCAGAAGTGAATTAGTTTTTATTTCCAGGCAGGCTCCCCTCCCGTTGGCACTGCCACTTTGGCACTTTTGCGTGCAACTTGCGTGTGACAGCGCCAGTGTGTGTGGGCAGGACTCTGGAGGACTCGGCAGGACGACGTCGAACTGTCGATGGCTATGTGTGCGCAATTATAATAATTGCAATAATAATAACAGAGGCATCTCAGCACTTGGTTGGCCTGCACCGTGGCAGCAGCAGCCGGAGTAGCTGCTTGGAAGAGGACCAGTACACTCAGCAAATCCAAGTGGCATTCAATAGGAAATTAGCTGTTTTCAATTCCTTTTTTCAATAAGTGCTATGGCCTAATGAAAGTAGTGAGCCTTGAATGAGTTGGACTTGCGTTCAATGCAATTCACTACACTCACTTTGATTTTCTCGCAGTGCCGTGGGATGGGCGAGTTCCGGCCAGCAGTTGTGTGCGCAAATCGCTCCGTTGTTTACCGAGGGCATTAAAGGCTTTCCTGCCGCACGGCCCCAGGCTGCAGGCCCGAGGACGAAGGACCTCGATTCAGGACTCGAACAACGCGCCTAAGTAAATAGCCAGGACACCAGCAGATAGAAAGAATAGCAGCTCAGGCGGGCTCAGACTCAGCCGCATGGATTTAAATTCCCCGCGCGCCGTTGTCCTAATTACAACTGCCAGCGCTTTGCTGCCCCTGA